TTGTTCGGCTTAACTCAATTTGATGGCTTACAGTCCCACTGTGGGCTTTTAAACCAAGCTTGCGAATAAACAAAAAGTTGGTGACACCCAGGGCAAACCGATTCAGCTCTGTTTAGCAGTTCTTGGGTATTGTGAATGAGAAGACAGGAAATAAAATGGGTTTAGTGAGAACTCTCAGCCCACAATGGGTTTTTGAGTTTCTCTCAGCGAAATGAAATGTCTCCATTAGTCACAAATATCCGCACAGCCACTTGACATTTTCACAAAATGTTCAAACAAATGACTTTTTGTTTTCAGTAATACTGGCCCTCCGCTGACGCTGTGCTCCTGAGGTCAACTCACGGACTTCTCTGATCTGAGAAATGAACATTAAAAAAAAACACTAGAACACATAAAAAAATATATAGAAAATCTTGCATGCACATTTTCCAAAATATTAAAAACAAAACAGTATGAAATTACAGCCTAATTTCCATGCAGCACGTTTATTTCTCCTCAGCTGGTTGCAGATTTTGGGAAAACAAAAAAGTATATAAGCCTCGTGCCAAGTTCCTGTAATGTAACACAAGTAAAGCAGGTCAGCACACCCTCCCACTATGCTGAACAATGAGTCCAACTGAGCTACTTTAGCCCCTTCAGTGCGTTTAAATATCTTCTGATAACATCTCGGTGTTGTGTTTTATGCCCTACGAGCCATCTTCTTACTTAACAAAAAACTTAAGGGCAAGAAAAACCCTGGAGTGCTGTCCAGATGTTGTGAACCCTCATCTCTTCATATTTGATCACATAACTCTGACTTTACACAATCACACATGTACAATCTGTGCAAGGAATTAGTCAAAACAATGTGTATAAAAAACAAAAAAATGGTGCAATCAGAAAAGATCCGAGTGAAGTATTTATGCAAGCCTCATTAACATCTGACCAAAATACTTTACGGTGCTTAAACATTAGACACTGACACTTATTAAGATTCAGCTGGCACCAAGTTGTTTAACCCTAAGTGGTGCTGTGAGTGGGTTCTCATTCTTTAAACATCCTTGTGAGACGATTGTTTAAAGAACAATCTCACATGGGAACACAATGCTGCAATTCATCAAGCTTAAATTGTGAAAGTGAGGTTCAGAACCATGTGACATTTTCACACATGGGCTGTTCACCAGAGGTCAGATAGTAAACCTACTGAAAAGACTGTCACGATGAGAAATTTTGCTTGGAAATTATCGCGATACATGATAATATTCTAATGCACCGTGTTTCTTTCAGTGTTGCAAGAGAGGTTTATAAAATCTGGCAACAATTTTTACCACAACACTAAAGTTGGAAGTGAAATAAACTGACTGGTCTTACTGCTCCTATATTTTTTGTGCAGTGGTGAATAGTGTGACTAACAGGATGTAAAAAGATTGTGCAGAAATGTAGTGACTGATACTGATTCTGAGAAACTCACTCTGCTATGTCTAGGTAACCGCAGGAAGCTGCAGCATGGAGGGGGATCCAGCCCTCGTTGTCAGGCTGGTTGATGCTGGCTCCGTGTTCCACCAGGAACGTCACCATGTCAATGTTGTCGTCGATGCARGCCTGAAAGACAGAAATTAGGGTGAGAAGAAGAACCAAACCCGCAAACGTCTTGCGTCTGGGTGATTATCGGTGCACGAGTGTCCCCGCGCTCACATGCAAAGCTAGCCTGTTTTACTGCTGCGGATGGATTGCCATGTGTCTCCGAAACTGCTGGGGAATGTAGGCAGCTGGAGCCTTTCAAAATGCCTGCACATAGCAGGGCTGCTTGAAATACCACGTCACGTAACGGTACTGTCAGATGTGCTGAGTTTATATCCTGCTAATTTATGAAAAATAAAAAAAGGCTTTCTGGTGTACTTCACCTAAAGGTCATCTGCACATTGTGTGATAAATCAAACTACTAAAACTCAAAACACTACTTTTCTTTTTTTCCCCCCTCTGTGCAGCTGTTAAATCACTTACGTAACCATTTTTACTCTGAATAGCTCAAATTTTTCCAATCATTAGGGGCTGTGCTACTTTCTGATCATAGCTAAACATCTTAGTAGGTTTCCTTTCTAGGTTGGTTATAACACCTGTATCACTGTACATAAACCTAAAGAGTAAGGCTAACTCACCAATCAGATGATCATAAAATCAAGTATAAAGATAAATGATGATTGTATATTTTACTCTCCAGTCACAATAAAACGTGAAGCATGTTCGACTTATCCTTGAATGAAACTAAACTAGTCCAGGAGCACAGACAGGAATTCGTCTCGTGAGGAATTCCATTCATTCAAGGGTTCCTCAAAGATCCCAATCATTTTCTTTGCAAAGATAATACAACTATGCAAATCAAAATTTTGCGGAAATGCGTCAGGGCACATGCGCAGCCGGGTTCCACAACCAGATTAACACGAATTTACATGCACGCCGTTCGGATTATCAATCGGCATAAACCACCCCTCTTGGTCCGATTTCAAATTACTTACGATCGAGTTGAATCAAATGAGATGTTTCTGATTGGTGCATTTATATGACAAATTTTTATTTTTTGTAGTTTATTCCAATACTTAGATGGAAACATGGTTAGTGGCACCGTCAAGAAATRAAGTTGCATCATTAGTGAGAATGAGGTGGATAAATTCTATTTTGAGATGTTTTAAACATAACGTGGGATGTGGTTAAAGTTCATCTACATTGTGATCCTGAATTTGTGCTAAGAAACTGAGATTCAGTTTTACATTTCATAAGTAGGGGAAAGGTCAACTGTAATACAAACAAGTTGAAGGAAATTCTTTGCATTTTGTATTGTGGAAACTATTTTATGCCAGTCGATTCTCTACATTCCATTTTTGTTCCAAATGCTTTTTAAACAAACGTGACCTGTTGGAACATTTGTAGCCTTCTTAACAGAAAGCATAAAGGGCTCGACACACGGGAGGCGACGTCGCTCGCTCTCCATTCATTTCCTATGGAGCCTGTGCYGTGAGGCGACAATCGCTTGCCCTCCTCCAGCTAAGCGACCGGCAAAAATAGTGCATGTGAAATTTCGCGCTCATACATGTGCACACACGAGCTTGCGACGTGACATATGAAAGTTGAAAAATGTTCAACTTTTGTCGCTGTCGCTTAGCGTACAACCAATCAGCGAGGGTTTCATTGACTGACCAATGAGAGGAGAGTATGCTACACACTGCAGTTAGCTAACACTTTCACCAAGTGATTACTAAAAAGCTTTGTGGGAATTTATTGGCACCAGGGTGAAGTTTATGGTAAGTTTTTCCTCATAAAACTGTTTCTTGATGTGTGTTTGTTTTTCAATATCATTAGCATCGCAAGATTTGTTTAGTTTACACYTCRGTAATGCACWKCCSCCTTCAGAGTCAAGAACCAATCAAATTTTGTGAAGACAAGCAACCTGAAAGAGCGCGATTCGCAACGCTGCGATCACTATCGCTTCCCGTGTGTCGGGTTTCACCCTGGCTGCGATGACAGCCGTTAATCGCTGTAGTTTTTCGCTCCCCGTATGTCGAGCCCTTAAGAAAACAATGAACTCGCCCCACCTGTAAATAAGTTTGATTTTGCAACATTTTGCAAAGAAGCTGCACGATCCAATGTCTTCTGCAACTAGAAGTCAACACATCTGAAAGCTTAAAAARTTACTGGGTATTTTAAAACAACAGGCCCTCACATAGACTTGTGTTTCAATTTGTCCACTCAAACCAATTAGAAGACAGGAACTACATGTAACAAGAGTGAAAGAGCAACAGCTTTATTTGCCGTCATGCCTGTGATGGAGGAAATAATGTACAATCCAAACAAAAATGAAGGGGGAGAGCCTGAAGTATTTAGTGCACAAAATCCTTGAGGTTAAAAGGTTGTCTCATGTCAAACACCTACAATAAGGTGAAATTCAGTGCAGTGGTCATGAAGTCCTAGAACCTTAAAAAGAAAAAAAAGCAAATCTCTCTGGTGAGCCTGCAGCTATCATTTCAATCGCTCATTAAATGAATAACTACAATTGAGACGTTGTAGTAAACAAACCCTTGAAATCTGAAAGGATTGCCACTTGGTTATAAAGCAAACCCATAAATGAACACTGAATGTACAGTCTCTCTTTTCTCGGGTTGCGATGACAACACAGGCATCCAGAAGAGAAATAGATACACATGGATGCACGCCGGCCTCCCGTTCAGGGCACACGACTATCTGGCTGGAATCCTTGTCCAAATTTGGGCCGTTTACAGCACCAGAGGAGAAGAGAGTGCCTCCTAAGGGCTCTGTGAGCTTATCTGACAGTTTGTCTGTATATTTGTATACGATGTACTTCATGAATTTGTGATTAATGATTGTGGTTTGATTGCATGTGGGTGCACAGGAACAGAGTGTCTTAAGCCAAATCTGACAAACTGGGGTTTATCTGACTTTGCTACAGGCTGTGCAACATCCACATCTGATCACTTGTTCTTGGAAGGTAGAAGACTTTAAGCTTGACATGTTAAAACACTCTGTCTAGTCATGCAAGACGTATTTTTTCCAAAACTGCTCTCACAACTTCCTGCTTCAGGTGGAGAAAAAAAAAAAAAAACCCACGCAAACCCATATGTAAACAGACACCCTTGATCATTCCCTGCACACATTATCTCTTCAGTTTTTTTGCTTGCCTCGTCGTGGAAACATGGCCCTTAAGGTGAATTCAGAGATGCTGGCAGGGGCCCCCTTTCCCACGTCACGTGTTCCTTTCTCTGCAGCCCAGCTGAAGCAATCGCGTAATGGTTGTAATTTTCTGTGGTTGACAGGTGCCGGAGTTACAGCTTGCATCAAGATAATGCTTGTGATGACTGGAGGGGCAGGAGAGGGGTGCTCACAAAGTATCATGGCTTCCTCATTATTTACAGAGCATCGGAGAATTTAAACACTCGGGTCAGGGAGTTCACTTCCTTCTACCCTACAGAGATGAGCCAAAGGTCTGGTAGTAACCTAAAACTTTGTCAACTCATATCCTACATCAAATATCAAAGATTTCAGGAAATTGAATTGGCATTGAGAATTGTGTCATTATTCCTACGCCAAACATCACAGGCATCACCACCTCTAAGTAACAAAAGACCCGTGCTGAGCTTGCATGAAAACATTCAGACGTGACGCGAGTGCCTAAAAAACATTTACGTAACTATTAAACCTGTTTAGCTAGTGTGCCTCAAAGGAAGGACTCCTTGTAATAAAAGGAAATAGGATGGATAATAAGCTGAATAGCTGCACACATTTGTGTTTGGATTTTGGAGGTTTTTTGGTTTTTGAAAAAACTTTCTTCATGACTATCTCAGCTTTGCATCCCTCCTGATTGGCTTCAAGAAGTAAAAAAGCACAATAGCAAAGCTACTAAATGCATTTAAATATGTTTTGTGCAAAGACTTACTTCAAGAGACTTATGTAACCAGCAACCGGTATGTGTTTCTGTTTTGTTTTTGTCTTGTTGTGTCTCAGTTCAGAGGCTGCATCCTCGCTGTGCCCCGCTGTTGGATGCTTACGTCACTGCCACGCGTCGAAGGGTGTCCCAATTTTTGGGCCCCGTCTCATGCGGACAACGAATGAAGGCTGCATCTGACCATCCTTATAAAACCGATCACTGTAGTAACAGGGTAGTGTGTGATCACGCAAACATACGTCATCCAAATACTAGACAGTCTCATTTCTCAGTCGTTTTATGCAGCCTACCTGGACTGCGTGGGATCTGGCCTAAGTGGGCTGTGGTCTAGATAGGCTGGAGCCCCCCAATTGGAGCTCAGCTTTTGTAGAAGAAAAACTTCTCCAGAGTTGTAAAATAACTAAGAACAAATACTTCTTTATCAATCAATCAATAACTTRATTTTTGGTAAATTTTTCACATTAAACATTAAAAACAACAACAACAACCAAAACAGAAACAACTTCTTTACTGTACTTAAGTAGAATTTTTGGGTATCTATACTTTACTTGACTAATTATTTTAAGCCTACTTTTTACCTCTATTTCTTACATTTTCACACAATTATCTGTACTTTCTACTCCTTACCAAGAAGTAGAAAGTTGTTACATTTATTTCATTTTTGCTTGTTTTCATTCCAGCTTTTTATTGTAAAAAAACTATCCATATAAATTGTGCCTCCTAGATAGAGTGAATTTAATTGTGGTTGAATGAGAAGTATAAATATATAACATTTTGATATCATATTAGTTTGTACACAAACAAATCATGTCACACTCCAGCAGGACATAATCATTAACATAAAAGGACTTCACTTAAGAAGTATTTGTATTTCATGAATTATATTTTGCATTTGACCACAGCCCTCAGATAGATTTTCATTTTGGAGAAAAGGTTTGGGCAGCCTTGATATATTTACATAAACTGAAACAGCTAGACTAGTGCATCCTAAATTTAACATTAATTAATTATTTTAATATGACAGTCATTTCTGCAATTTTTGGGGAGGTCACCTCCTAATAAATGTCATTACAGAAAAACTGCTCATTTTAAATCAATACTTTTACTTTTAATACTTAAGTAGTACAAATATCAGATACTTTAAGAC